TTCACGATCGGGCGACCCTGCCAATGTGAGACTGAGTGCTTTCTGCAGATGTGGATCATCTAGCGACGCTTGTCGGATCTGGGCCAATTCCCTGTCTAAAATATGTCTGGTAGACTTAATAGACTCCATAAACATATTGACATCCTCTTCATTTGAAACCTCATGTAGTATGAGCGGACTCCTTAACAGAATTTCCGGAACAATTAGCAGTTTTCCAGAAACCTGTTCAACAACTGGCGCAAATCTCCGTAGACGCACGAGTAGGCGTTGCCACATACATGGCGTCCAATTGAGATCCTGTGAGTTGATGAGGGGAACGAACGGCTTATGGTGTGTAAGTAGTCAAGAGGACTCAAGTCCGCCCGAGTACCGTTCAAATTTCTCACAAACCCAGACTGACGCCAAACACTCTCTCTCTATTTGAGCGTATCTAGTCTCTGTGGGCGTTAAAGTTCGAGAACAGAAAAACAACGGGTTTATTTCTCCTCCATCTAGCTGAAATATGGTCTCTCATAACTGCTTGAGTCAGCACTGACGATTATGGGATTACTTGCACCATAATAGGTCAAAATAGGAGTTTCTGTCAACATGTAATTTATCATAACAATTACTCAACGCAGCTCAGTTACGTCTTTCGGTGCTTTCATGGCTATGATTTCTTCAACGTGCCTTGGATTGGGACGTATGCCGTCCAAACTTATGACATGTCCATAGTACTCAAATTTAGACTTTCAAACCTCGCACTTGTCCTTATTGAATCTGGGGCCCAATGCACGAATCATGTATGGGATTGTATCTAGACATATATCGTGCTCCTAGTGAGACCTCCCATAGATTACAATGCCATCTATGCTAGCCTCAACTACACCTAACCTGGACAGTAGTTCAGATATTTTTCTCTATAATATTTCCGGTGATGAGGTTATACCGAATGGAACCTTGTGGAATGCATAGCTTTCAAATGAGGTGATAACGATGTTGAGCTTGCTGCTATCTGCTAACACCCGTTAACTTAGGAGTTATATCGTCCAGTGTTGGAAGCTTAGATTGTTCCCGTTTTACGGCTTCATTTAACCTTTTTAGGTCAACACAGATCCGGATTTTCCTATCTTTTTTAATATTTAATCGGTAACAGCTTCGTCATTTTGTTTACTAGACCCATCTGGTGTGCAATGCTCCTTCTTAATAGAGCTAGCCCCACCCATTACATAAACTGACAATTTGAACTGTCTCCCCTTGTACTCAACCCTTTAAGCCCTGATGATGCATTAATGCATCACCATGCCTGGGCCGGATGATGCATTAATGCATTACCGGGTCTAGGGCGAATTATGTATTAATGCATCACCGGGTCTGGACCGAAGAATCACTAATGCATCACGGAAGTGGAAGTATTTTGAAACAATTTTCAGTTGATAAAATACGCAAATCAAATTATCTGTTTGTCAGTGTATGTGCCAGAAATCATGAATGGACAATACCTAATTAATTTCAAACAGATATTTGGCTATAAAAGTACATTATGTCCATGTATTTGAATTTCTTCTCACAAGAACTTCCGGTCGGACGGGAGCAAGTGAAACAATCATTTCCGCAATAATTTTCATAAAAAAAAAGAAGTTTGCAATGCTCGTTCCAGAGCTTTCTAATGTTAAATACATCACTGTTCAATTAAACGAACTTATTGGATTTTGTAATGAATTTTCAAATCAGTATGTAATAAAATTATTGTGCGAAACACTGGTGCATCACGTCACGGACACGGGAGAAATAACATTGAACAGTGCCATTCTACACGCCAGCATTCATGACCGAATTTTTGTTATCAATCGAAATTTGGTTCTCAATTATGAATATGAATTAATATGCATATGATTTTGTAGATATTTTTGTTGCAATTGTTGAAGCTCTACAATTTGAAAAGTCAGTCGATTGACGATTACTCTATATATAGTAACAGTCAGTGATCACATGATCAAGATTCATTCAAGATGACAGCGATATATGCGTGTATGTCGAGTCGATCAGTATAAAAGTAATTTTCATGGGAGTTTTGCAATGTTGACAGGCTTAAACATGCAATATATGTTACATATAGCGTTCTCATTATGTTTCAAGTGATGATATTGACTAATAAAGCTGTTATTTACGCTGTCATGGTAGATGATTGCGTGAAAGTTCAGACGGTGAAAACATCAAGGAATTTGAAGCCCAATACTTTGAACGTAACTTTGCGGCACCCCTAAGACATCAAGACATAGTATATGGATACGTTTTTAACTTCGCCTTATCTCCTCACAATTGTCTATAATTAAAAATGATCCAGAATTTTGTCTAGAAATGTCGGTCAACATTCCAGGTTTCACACTTATTTTTCGATGCATTATTTGACAGTCCGTTTCATACACATAAGCTGGTCGAGTACCCGAAATGTAACACTTTATTATTTAAGTCAGTTTGTGAAATAACTGTCAGCATTTAAAACAATTTTCTTCATTTCAAAAATGTTTTGCAATTTCTGACAAATTTTAGTCGTTTATTTAGTTTTCCATGTTTAGAAATATGATAGGATATTTATGTTGTCGGACCGTACCGTTTCCTGCGATTTTTTCCCCCATTTTTTCAGTATTTCAATTGAGTTCATGAGCAATGTTTAAAAGGTATAGGCAGATGGAACTTGCTCAAATTGCATAGAACTAAATAAATCTTGATTCAGAATACAGGGCATTCACTTTTATTGCAAAATAAAAAATGCTGCATGATATATATATCAAAAGCGTTCCATTTTAGGTACCCTCACCCAATATTTGGTCTTAACCATTTCATTTTACATAAAATTAGTTAGATACCAGTCTTTGCCTTGTACTTTTTCTCTATAATATATATCTGAATCCTATCTAAATTCCTGTTGATGTTTTTTAGTTAAAAGGCACGAGTGAATTGAATCGTCAATATATCAATATATCTTTGTTAACTTATTAAAAAAAAAAAACAGAACAAATTATCTACAATTAGTTGAGTAGCTTACCACAAACATCATGCAAATGGTGATACACGCATGATAATTTGTAAGAACATGCCTTTAGGTGTATTCAATCATATTAAGGGGGTAGCCACGAAAAAAATCCATCCAATCATGGCGGCCATCTTTGGTTTTCAAAATGACGTCTATCCAGGTAAAACACATCAAATGTATGTTTCCTTTTGCATACATATTGCTTGTATTTTATACAAAATGTTACTAGGTTGAGTGAATGAAGGTTTATTTGTCTCGTTGTAGTAATATAACATCACTTCCGGTCCAATATCGGTCGATAACTCACTGCCGGTTTTATGTATATTTTACATTAGACCCATACTACCACGCATCCGTCCATTGTGATGTTGCTTGTCTTTGTCAAATGTCATTCATTACCAATCATAACTTAATGTTCATCACTTATCACTAGAAGTCTTTCAGAGAGTGTTTTATTTGCACTACCAGGGCACACTGGTATAAATCACTGCCGATAATCTCGGCATGGGGTCCAGTATCAGTTTTATAAGATTAAAGTGCTCCCAAAGACTCCATGATTGCCCCAATTATTAAGTCATAGAGTCGTACCTGAATCGACAGGATGTGCCAACACGGGATAGCCGAATCAGGGAGGAGGGGCTTATTCCTCTTGATGGCAAACTTTTAATTGGGTTAACCGAATTCAGTTGTATCCCATACAACAAAGTGCTATACAGGTAGTAAAAGGATAAACCCTCGACCTGAAATATCAGAAGTGTTCAGATATTTAACTCAGACAATATTTGCGTTATTGTTCTATCGTTACATTGCTGATTTTTGAAATGGCCAAAAGAATTCGCTTGTCAGTTTCCTCAACAGATAGTTGGGAAACTGATTGGACAAAATGCTGTTTGTGTCAGGAAGACACAATGGACCCACTGAAATCGTCTGATGAAGGATATACAATTTTCATAAAGGAAATGCACTCCCTATCCCTCTAGATATTCGGCGATTAAACGACGGGGAAGGAATCGAAAACACAATGAAAAAGAAAAATGCTAAGTACATGTACCATAATTTATGCAGAATAAAGTTTAACAATACTAAACTTGAGAGAGCCCAGAAACGCCATATGTCAATAATGCCATCTGGAATTCGAGTGAATGTGAATAGGAGCTAAAGTTGTATACTTTCATCATATCCTCAAATACATTTTACACTACAAATATTATGGAATCTCGTACATTACTCAGTAAAACGCATTTCATAGTCACATGCTAAAATATAATACACTCACATACATTAATGCTAAGATACATTATGTACTCAATTTATATGCTTACACATTATATACCCATTTGTATTGTATAACTATCCATATGTATTAAAAAATCATAAACATTATGCACAAAAACTCTTTTACATTATACAAGCACATGCATTATTCAAACATTATACATTCTTATTCATCATTCATTCAGATACATTTAACACATTTAACACTCACATACATTACATACCCACATGTTATACACAAACATACATTATACACTCACATACATTCTTCACTGAAATATGTTATTATATGTTTCCATCAATAAGTGGCATCCGATGTTATGCCGCTGCAGACCATCCGACCACATCTAGTAGGGGTACTATGATACAAGTCACAAATGACCTGAAAACGCTATCCGACGAGACTGTCGACATCGGTGCAAAGCGTGCATTATTGCTGACGTTGGTGATACGGGTGTACCCGTTATGACAGTGTTAAATGGATTAGGATACACTTCGTGTTTATTGTACTCTAACGATGAAATGGGCGCTCTTTTGACCATTTTGAATTGAATTAATCTTTGATGAATTATGTCTTTTGCAATTCTACAACAAACTATTACAGTACTTTAGAAGTAACTGTTTGATATGCCATTTTATCAAGGCACAGTTGCATATATAGACACGCACACATACACAAATTACACATTTACATGTATTATAAACATACCTCTAACGTCCACTGTGGTCGTGTCTGTTTGTGTTGGTGCTGTATTGTCGAAGATGTTATTTCTCCCCTCACACGTCCACCTGTCCCCGTGACTGTAACTGTTGACGGGAATCTGTATCCCCAGTGTCCTCGTGTCTTTGTTACAGGTTAGTGTGTAGGGTGGTGTTGATGGACATGATGTCCCAAAGTTTATAAACACTGCGCCTATTCTACCTCCACCATCATTCAGTCTGTAGTTAACAGCAGCATTTGGTCCTGTGTAGTCAGCTGACCACTGACACGTGATACTGAGGGTCTGACCGGACACGACCTCGGCTGTGGGAGAGGGACTGACCACCACGGATAATCCAGTTACACCTGTACATATGAGAAAAGCGATTATCAAAGGAATGGTATATTTCTATTATGTTCAGTGAATATATTTATGCACCAATAACGGATTTAGAGTCAGATTGGTCCACGTGTATATTGAGTATATAGGGATGTAGTTATTGTCGACATCAATCGAGAAAAAAGTAATTGTTTTACAGAGATTGATTGTATTTTCTCTCTACATTAACCGCAAAACAATATTTTGATTTACGGCTTTTTGAAGGTGATATGCCACTCCTTGATTGTAATGGACGTTAATACTGGTAAACGACGTATTAATTGTAAAGGTTGACGAACCTATAATCAACGTGACTGAGTTTGTTAACAATACATGTAACTGATCGGTATACGTATGTTTCTCATCAGTTAAAGTACGTATATGTATTAATACAGACATTCAAGAAAGCAAGCATGACATTCATTACGTTAATAATCTATAATTAAAAACATATCTCAGATTTGTATTCTTGTCAATCTATTAAGTAACTTTCTGTCCAATATTTTCAATTATTATTATCTGTATTACCTCCAAAGATGAAGATTACAAAGTTATTTGGAACATATCTACTTATAAGTATTTGGTACATATATACACGATTACATAATATGCATAACATACATATGAGGTTATATATAGGGATGTGTATAGAACGTGTACAATAATATAATATTTTAGAGTATGCCTAAAAAGTTTCAATATACAGATTGTATATTGATTTGCACAAGACAAGCATTTCTGGGCCTGGATCACACAAGGTTGGGGGATATCCCCACCTGCGAGGTGTTACGGGCCCACACATGTATACTGTAATGCAACTTAATCTGTAGTATAGTTCATATAGTGTCTCATCTGATATATTTTGCTAAGTGCACATAACTTATACAAATTCTACATTAGATATGTATGTACTTAACTTATATACATAACTATTATATACATTGCATTGAGGCACATATCATCTAACTAGTAAAGGTATATATATATGTATGTTATTCAATAAACTTCCATTATCGGTATTTAATTGTATTATAGGTCCATACCATTGAAGGTATATGCATGTTTTTTATTAGTTGTTACTGTCGTAAATACATCAGCGACAAGGAAGTAGGGTACCTGTAATTATAGCCAGTTGTTATATGTTTACTCTCCCTTCACCTTATATAAGTAATCTTACCTTGGAGTGTGGTGATGTACAGCCATAAATAACACTGTAATCGTCTGTCCAGTGTCATACTGACCAGGTCGATGATCACACAACTGGTGTACAATTTGTTAACGATTACCCGAATACTTCCTGGTCTATTTTGAGAATTTCTGTAGCAGTTATGTCCCTTACTCCATCATTATCTTTAACATTATAACTGATAGGCATTGCATTCAATAAAACAACATTAATTGGTACGAGCCACTGTAAATGGTATGAAAAAAAGACAAATTTCAGAATGTACCACTTGTCAAAAACTAAGGGAAAACCACAGAATATCTCGTCATTCCACATTCTGGTAAAACCTCTGATAAATGCGTCTATATAATTTAAATTTGGACGAAGTGTTCAATATGCATGAAATGCATGTATACTTATGTTTTAATTTGGTTTAAACCTGGCATTTTCAGTGAAATAAAGTGGTAGGAAGATCGTAATACTATGTTGTTGTTTTTCTCTTAAATTTCGTCAAATTTAAACTAGCAAGTGTTGTAAATCTTCGTTTGAAGTCGTGTCGTAATTACAGAGAAATATATACACCAAGGCAACATGTCGTACGTACTAACATTTCTAAATAGTTATATAGGATTTTGTAATCGTTTCTATGTCATATGAGATTTATGAAATGAGTCTAAGAAGGTTTCGTTTTAGCTCGCCAGAGGGTCGCTAAAATGAAAATTTCGTGACGAGTTTCATAATTCTCATATCACATGGAAACGAGTGTAAGATCATGTTTTAACATATGACTGAATTACTGTCCTTCCATTCGTTAAAACGAGCAACTGTATCGTAGTTACAATATTTGTATTTAAATCACTCAAACAACATGGATAGACATTATTATTTAATCCATTATTTAAATGTTTTATACAAATAAAGACATTCAGCTGAAATTTGGAGTCAATTCTTAACAAAACATGAGCATCCACGTTCACACTTCGTCACAGCGCGCGACATTCCTAAACGTCACAGCGCGCGAAAATTTGAGGTGTCAACTGAAAATGACTATTACTGTCCGATTCGATAATCCTACGTCGTTTCACTGGTTTGGGAAGTGATGTGGGAGATTGTTGATAAATGTTAGTGCTGAAATGTCTACCATAAGTGTTGCCTCTAAACACAGAATGCAACTTTCCATGGAAATATGGGATAATCTCCGATCTACTCTCGGAACTCTACGTGGCTCTCATGTTGACATTGTTATTTTGTAAGTTTGTTGTTATATGTGTACCGTTGTTCAGAACGTTTGTTTTACTCCCCGAGTTGGGCGGATTAGACAATGTTCTGGAAATGAGTTTGTGTGTATTGTCATCAATCTTTATGTAATTATAATATCTGTAGACCCGAAATAATGTTTTACTACGAGACGTTGTGCGGAGTAATTTATTATCATGGGAAAGTGTGATGCGGTCAGCCAATCAAAATCGCTCCAGGCTATATGACATGAGTTAATTAATTGCATTACAGGGGAATAATATGATAAAATCATTAAGTTGCTACGCTGTTATGAGTTGCATTGGTCGAACGAGTAAAAGACTCGACAATTAACTGATCTAACACTGTTGCAAACCGATCTTTTTACTTCCTCCAGAAAATCTGTCCCAACTCGGGACATTATCAAATTGATTGTGTCAATTGTGTATTCAATCCTGTTATAACTCAACAATCAATAATAAATTGATTTTCTATAATTCGTCCATCATTGATTTGTTCGGTGACAACCTTATCCGCTAAATAACTAAACTACACTCACGGATCATGACTTCTCACACCAGCTGGACTTTTTTCACGGATTCACTCACACGTTATATCTGTAAATGTGTCCTTCGTTCAATGACACTTCAAAATGATCACTTATTAAGCCAAGTGGCTTATTGCTGTACGTATAAATAGTAGGTGTGTGATGCTTTGTTTCTCTCCTGTGAGTATTTATATGTTGGCGGATGTTAGAAACTTGACTGTTGATTTTTATCGCGGTTCCATATTGTCCGTTATGACGTGTTAGTATAAACTACGATTACATATTGTCTAAATTGGGTAATAACAGTGATGCTATGTCATAAACATCTTGTTAAGAATCTGTTAAGGATCTTCAAAGACAAATATTTATTGAATCTATCGTAATTCTGGTCTTGGAAACAGTTATGATATAGTGTTGTCTTGAGTAATTACATCACTGATAGTATACCATGTTTGAGCGTCATGTCCTTGAGACAGCAACATAACCTCCCGTCGTAATTTGTTTCCCAATTAATGAATTAATCAAGGTACGTTCATTGTTTTTTTTGACCCAACTAGAAACATTATAGGATCAAGATAAAATACTTATACGCATATACCAAATAATGAATATCTTCCCTGAAAAATGTCTGGACACAATTCGTGCAGAATCATTATCAATAGCAATCCATTACCACTATAGTGAATAGCATTTTTTTTTTTAATCAATTTGCATTTTTACTGATAAGCATTATGTGCAAAACTAGTATTGACTTATGATAACACATAACTTGAATTGAAATTTATAAAGTAACCCTTGAAAGTTCCCGCCCTTAGTTAGGTACTGACTAACCGAAGCAGAAACGTCACAGAGGTGTTTGCCCTTGGTTTAAATAGAAACCTTTGAAAAAATATATTTAAAAAAAAAAGGAAAACGATTTTCCAACCTATAATATTAGTTATATAGTCAGTTACTGACCCTCTATGGTTCTGTAGAGGGTCAGTAACTGACTATATAACGAATGTATCGCATCGAGGACCCTTTTTGCTTAAAATGAAAATGATGTAATGCATAACAAAACAATATGAATATTTAACAAATTTAATCAACTTTGAAAAATGAAAATAAAATAAGTTATATAACAAAAACATAACATGTAACAGTTTTTTGTTGTTCTTGGAACAAGATATCATACAGATCGTTAACATTTTCTCATTTGTTAATTGTGAGATTTTGTATCATTTTTAGAATATTCAGGTACCCGTATCTGTTGTTTTAGTTTTGAAGCGGTGAGCAATGGGCGGCCAAATTGCCCTATGATGGAATCCTACTGACCCTCTATAGAAAATTAGAGGGTCACCACGTGACAGCTCTAACCAAATGGTTTTTGGACATTTCTGTCCGAGGTGCGATAACTATTATAATTAATGGTCCGCGTGGAAGCGCGCAGAGGGTTTTGGTGTTGGAAGAAATCAGAGAACTCGAAAACAACAATCTGGTCGGGCAGGTCACTCAATACTTCTTTCCCTCCGATTTCGGATTCGAAATACGACTCTCTTAGTAAAAGGCGAATACACCATCCTTTACACTTCCTGCAGCGCCATTGGTAAAACCTTTCATACATTGATACACTGCCCTTCTACCTACAATTCACAATTTGATTGGCCAAAAGATTATGTTTAAATCCCGGATTTAAGTCATATAAGACTTGGAGCGGGTATACGAAAGTTAAAAAAAATGAGGAACCGATTTCTCACAAGCAATTTTCATACAAAAAAAAAATTGTTAGAATTGCAAGAAATGTCTCTGACGAAATGCCAACTCAGCTCAGTGAACTTATCATTTTCGAAGACTTCAGTTTTACGACAGAGATGCTACCTTTGTTAATGGTAGACTTTGGTCGTTCAGATCATTCCCTATCTTTGAAAAATAAACGACTTTGACAAACCTCGTATTATACCTTAATCCCAAACACAATAAGTATTAGACGGGTACAGAGACTGTTACAAATCGTATCGTGGCTGGGACTGAATTTGTATTGCAATTATATATTTTTGAAT